CCCCCGCCGGCGAGCAGCGACCAGCAGGGCAGCAACGGCCGGGCTGCTATTTGCCCCCCCCCCGTGGCTGTTGCTTCCTGCGCACATGGCCATCTGCAGTGCCACGTGGCAGTCTGCTCTGAAGACTGAAGACCCCCCTGGCTAGGGGGCTGCACCACATTATTTTTTGTACTATTTTTCTACTGCTGCAGCAGCAGTTTTGCAGCAGCTCAAGCTCCCTCCCCCGGCTAGGGGGCTGTGTAACTGTGCAGTAGGGTGGCTGATCAAAATCTCAGTCAACCCTAGATTATCATCATCATCATCCTGTTATTGCTGTGGCATCAGGCCAGCAGCGTCTTGAAGGCCAAGATCCTATGGATCTTGGTAGTGCTTTGCTCTTGGCCAACCAAGAGCCTGGTATTATCTCTCTCCACTAAACAACCCTCCCCCAACCCCTTTTCTCTCCCCCCCATCATCTAATCATCCTTTCTAACTCTACCACTACCCCCCTCCTCCCCCTTCCCTCTTCACTCATCTCCCACCACCTTTTTCTCTCCTCTCCTCCCCACTCACCATCGTGTACTAATCTCATCTCCCCCACCTCCCACTTCACTCCTCTCTCTCTCACCTATTTCTCTCTTCTTCATCACTCTTTCATCCCCTTGCCTTTTTCTGTTTTTCTTCTTTTCCCTTTCTCTTTGATTTCAATCTTCTCTTTTTTCCAAAAAACTTGAATTATCTTATTTCCCCCCTTCCCTTCTCATTTTCTGATTTTTTTTTTTTTTTTTAATTTGGAAAATTTGAATTTATTTGCGGCTAAATCTGACTAGGAGTTGGTCTTTCTTGCTTTCGGCACACATTTTGACCCCGTGGGGGTAATGAAGTGCTGTCGAAATTTTCTGTTTTTCTTTCACTTAGTCTTTTTCGGCACACTTAGACCCCATGGGGGTAACGAGATGGTTCCAAAAATTTTGAAAAATCAGATACTTCATTTCTCTCCACCTCCTTATCCATTTATTTACTTATTTATTTATTTATTTATTATTTCTTTATTTATTACTGAAATTTTTAATTTAAGGCATTTTGAAACCTAGTATGGTTATCTTGGTCTCTCCTTTCCCCTTGGCACATTCTTGACTCCATGGGGGGTAGGGAAATGATGTCAAAAATTCTAAAAAAATAAATATAGTTTCTCTCTTCATATTTTGTTTTTTATTTTTTTTTAATTATTTTTATTATTTATTATTTATTTATTTATTTTATTTTTCTCTCGAAATTTTGCTGTTTATTTATTTTTCCTCTCGCCTACCCCCCCCTATGCTTGCTATTTTATTTTCTTGATTAGGTCATTGGTACCCTACCCTAACCACGCACGCTCCGGTTAGGGTTTTCTTAGTTTTTTTTTTAGGGTTTAGGGTTTTCCTAACCCCCTAACCTTCCCTTCTCATTCGGCCACCCTGGATCCAAACCACCCCTCCCCCTTTGACGGCGCTCACGCTTGATTTACTAGCGACGCCCGTCGACTTCTATCGCAGAACTCCCTCTACGCCCTCCGCTCACGCGGACCTCCTCCGACCCTCTCTAGTCCGGCCCGTTACCTCCCCATGGCCGACGGCGTATCACAAGCCGCCGAGGCGACGACGACCTCGGCATCGGGCTCCACACCCGTGCCGACGGACCAGGGCCATCAACCCAGGGGGATCTACACACCCTCATCACCTCCCTCCTTGCGCCCTTACAGGAGCAAATGGCGACTCTTGCCGTTGGCCTGCGGCAACTCCAGGACGCTGGTCGTCCTTCATCTCCCCATTCTCTCTCTTCTCCTGGCTCCCAGTCCGCGTCCCCCGTCCTCCGACATGGTGGTCACGGTTGAGCTTCCTCCTCTGCCGCCCCCGACCCGGCCATCCTGGTGACCGTCCACGCTCCTAGCACGACGGCCGCCACGGGCCAGGCCTTCCCTCACTCTACGGGCGCACTCGCACAAATTCCGGTCACCACGGCCACAAGACCACAACCCGCTACCATGGTCTCAACTTTTTCCGGTGCCCCGCTTCTCCCTTCCCTTCGCACGACCGCAGCGCCACTTGGCTGTCCCCCCTCTAGGATGCCCCGCGCCGCTCGTGCGCCCACTTCCCCCACTCTTCCTCCTGCTACTCCTCGCTCGATCTACGTTCGACGTCTCGAGGACGAGCTTGCCCAGACCCGGGCCGACCTCGCCCTCTTACGCCTTCAACCACGCCCACGCTCACAGGTGGTCGTGCCTTCGGGCGCACCCCCTTCTTCCTCTACTCTTCCATTCTTGCCGGCTCGCTTCCCCCGCCCTGCTCCCCCTCCACCCCCATCTATCTCCTTCCTACTCCCTCGGCGGCTGCGACCTCTTCTACCGCAACTCCCTCGGAGCATGTCGATGTTCCCCCCGCCGCTCCACTATGGGGCCTGGGTGGACAGTCAGCTGCACTCGCTTCTCCAGGACCTGCGCCGACTTACTCGGCCGTAGCGCAGGCCTCTGCTCCCTGCTTTCTTCACCGCCAAAACGGTGGCGCACCACTCGTCCGCTTGACAGACATTGCCTTGTATGACGATACAGGCATACGCGTGTCTCGGTGGCTACAGTCTGCCACCCACACGCTCCAGCTCATGGGCGCCCCACCCGACATGTGGGTGGCGCACCTCTCCACGCGCCTACGTGGCGGTCCTTTTGACACCTGGGAGGATTTCTACGCTTACTCCCTTCGTGCGGGTCGGACTCCGACGTTCATGGATTTCTAGGTGTTCCTCGAGGATCGCTTCGGAGCCCGACATGACGTGACTGACGCCTTCGAGCGTGTCGTCACTACACGCTGGTCCGACTCTGGTGGCGCTGGCGGCCTGGATCGCCACATCCGGGTCTTTCAGGACGCCCGCCTCATTTGTGATGTGGCGTTTCTTCCCGAGGTTGCCCTTATCGATCGTTTCTTGGCCAGCCTTCCCCTTGAGTACCGCTCCGAGTTACGGTGGTACGAGTTCACATCGGCCCCGCAAGCTTACGAGGCCGCTAGGGACCATCAACGGATGCGGGCCCGTCTTCAACACACTTCCTCCTCCCAGCCTCAGCGTACTGGTTACGCCCCCTCCTCCTCTCATGACACTTCCTAGTGTCGTTCCCCTTTTCGCGGTCGCCCCAACCGTTTCGCGGAGCAGGGCCGCCACTTCTCACGCCGCTTCACCTCGCTCGAGTATGGTGAGCAGGGCGTTGTTGCCCCGTTGTCGCACGAGGGTGACCATAGCGACGACCTCGACCTCGGCGAGGCCGTCCACTACCACGTGGAGGACTCTCCTCTCCCTATGGTCGAGCGTCTCCAGCTCATCCTCTCCGCCCTCTCCCAGGCACGCAGCCGCCCCGGTCACGCTGGCGCGTCGCCCCCCGAGGTCCCTCAGCAGGACCTCCCTCAAGGCTTTGTCCCTCCTCGCGGTGTTCTTTTCGCCGAGGAGCGCGCGGCTATTTTGGGTCGGCGTGGGTGTTTGCGATGATGTCAGGACGGTCATACCTCCTCGCGGTGTCCTTACACTACCGCCCTTGACCGCCACTACGACCTTTCCCGCCAACATCGTGCTCAGTCCCCCCCCGGTGCCTCGTATCCCGCGGCGCCTCCTAACCACGGTGCAGTGTACAGCTGCGCCCTCCTCAGTAGTCGGCTTCCTGACATCCCCGTCGCGGTTTGCCCCTCTCGCTATTCAAGTTGAGGTATCGCAGGACCCGACAGAGTGTATTCAGCCCTCTGTCGCAGTATCGTCTGCGCCTCCGCTGACCACCGTCACCCCTCCTACCCCTCCACGACTACAGACACGTCGAGCCATTCGCTCACCCCGTTGCAACGAGCAACTTGCGACTCGCGAGGACGTTGTGTCCTCTCTTCTGGACTTGAGCATGCTTCAGGCTCGGCGACACAAGGCAATACACCACCGGTTGCTTGAACAAGAAGAAATCGTGGTTTCTTGGTGCTAACTCCAGCACCTTTTCTGCCCACGGGATCTTCCCTCGCTTCGTTAAGTAAAGGAAGCACGTTGCTAGCGCCTTCTCGATCGAGAGTCGTAGCTTCGAATAGCTAGTAAGCCCCCATATCTCCCCTCCCAACCTTAGTAGCCTTGCCATGTCGTCCCATACTTCCGCATCTAAGGGCCGCCACCATCAGTCCGTGTAGATGCCTTCGTCCTCCGCATCGCTACCTTCTCGCTCACAGTCCTCTTCTCCCGYGCGGTTCCCCGGTAACCCCTCGCCTAACCAGCCTTCGTACGCCAATCTCGTTCWGGCGCGAACCAGCTCCCTAACGCCTTGTTCCWTWTTCACGTGTTCGAGTCCCTCMTYCATACACAACCTTTTGATTTCTTGTGCTGTCATTTCAGAGTACTTTTTTCTGACATTGAGGATGTACTCTATTACTCCTTCTCTGTTGCATGTTCTTGGTACCTTCTTGTCCATCCTCTGCATTTTTCCCTCTCCCGGTGTTACTTCCCCACCGTCCTCCGATGTTTATGGTGACCCGAGCTTCCTCACGGTCCTTTGGCCTCTGTTCCTCCGAGTGAACTCCCATCTTCCTCGGTTCTCGCGATCCCTCGAGCTCTCATCATTATCCCTTTTCAAGTAATTCAAGAGTTCGTCTGTGGCATGATCATCCAGTGAGTTCGCCTTGCCTTTCCCCTTCTCCTTTGAGGCTCCCGCTCTCGTCGTGAGCGCCATTTGTATGTCGCTTCGGACGTCCGCATGAAAATGGTGCATCTCCCTTGCCACCGTTGACAATATCCTTAGCTCACTTTCCTCATTGAGCCTCCTTAACTCAGTCTGCCTTCGCTCCTCCTCTTGCTGTCGCTTCTTTCGCTCCGCATCTTGCCTGGCTTTTTCCTCTTCCTCCCTTTTCTTGGCAAACTTCTCTTGCTCCTTCATCATCTTCATCTGTACCCATTCTTTCATGGTTTTGATGTCTTCCTCGAGCTCTCGCCTACTCTGCCAGTATCTGGCGTTGTTTGCGTACGCCCCCTGCTGCTGCTGAGGTGTCCCTGGGTTACTTCCCGCTGGGCAGTCTCTTGCGTAGTGTCCTGACTGTCCGCAGTTGAAGCAACCTCTGTTGCCTCCGCCACTCCCTGCCCCGTCCGCTCTGTTCGGCGTTGCCATTTGCTTCTTACCGTTACGCACTACCTCCTCGACCTTCTCCACCCTTGGTGTATCCTCGTACGCTGGTCCACTATCACCTGATCTACTGCCAAGTGCCTCCTGCCACTTGTCTACCTCCTCTACCTTCTCCCCCCTTGGTGTGTCCTCGTACACTGGTCCACTATCACCTGGTCTACTACCATGTGCCTCCCACCTCTTGTCTACCTCCCCTCCCCCGTAGTCGACGTAGCCACCAATGCAAGTGTCGCCTCTCACTCGGTTGCTACGCTTACACGAAAAAGAAAGATAAGCAATGGCTGATTGCTCTTTACACGCGAACCAACAGATTTCCCATTAATGCAACAAGCGTGTACAACATGCTCGAAGTAACCGCGCACACGTTCCCCTACGTTTCAACCGGGTGCGCTCCGGTCTCATCAGGAGGCTTGCCACTCACCCCGTTGCCTTACGGCCCACCAGCGCCTATCCACCCTACGAGCGTGTAAGGACCTGTCTGGCCTTTGCCCGCATTTATGCCTTGGCCTTCCTTTGCACGTGCCCGGCCTTTCCCAGTCTCTATGCTCTGATTGGCTAATCAATCCCACATCGGATCCAGGTGCGGATCCTACAGCCGCTCAATCCTTCTTATACGGGCTCCTGTGCACGCGTTAGACTGCCTCGGAACTCCCAGGTAGTTCACGTGTGCTTCCAGGTCCGAAAGCACCTGGGCGTTCCAGTTCAAATTTTAAAAAATCTACCACTACTACCCTTTCCCTCCTGGAATCCGTTATTCTCTGCACCTTATTTTCCCTCCATTTCGAATTTCCACGTCTTCGCATTTTCCACTCCATTTCCCGCTTGTTTGCCAGCGCGTGCCTAACTGACTATTTTCCACCTGTGCTGTGTACTATTGGCACGTATCCTCCCCCAAAAAAATTCCAGTAAATCCTGGTGAATAATATGTATATAATAATAAACTTGCGGTCGCGTGGCTAACTGACTATCTTTCACCTACGCTGCGTACTATGGGCATGTATCCTCCCCCGAAAATTTTCTCGCCAGTATACCCTAGTGAATAATAAATAATATACAATAATATACAAACTTGTCTCTGCTGCCGCCCGCTTTCCCGCCTGAGCTCTGCCCATGTATTATTTGAATTCCCGCTTTCCGCTATTTTCATTATTTCGATTATAACTTAGCACCACCCTCGCTATTTTCCCGCTGCGCTAACTTTTTCGCGGTGCGCAACTGACTGTTTCCCCCATCGAACTGCCTCTCGCCATCGTACACCTTTTTACAAGAAGGTCGTTCTATTCCTGAGTATGTGCACACCCTGCCTACCCCCCTCCCAGAAATTTCAACTATCCTCTCTATTCGTACATCCCACGGYCAACTCAGGAGGCCCRWTAATCTCGGYGGAGTATYGCCCATGCCCGCCGTTCAGGCAGGCCGTCTGTCTCAGCAGCTCGCCCTTCTGGTACCCCTCCCCCGTGCGCTGCGCAGGACCATGCTATCGARGAGTGYCTTCCATGGSTCCTCGTTAGTGATGGTACCCTTGGCAAATTTTGCCAGGGAACCAAACTCTTTATTAAAACTAGCTTAGCGCCCGCGGTGCGGGCGGTGCGGGCAATGTCCGCACGTAAAAAAGCAGACARGCTAGTCAATCATGAACATTGTGTCAAGATCTTGACTCACCACCCACCAAACTCGCACCGGGCCGCTAAGAAGTGCGCATGAATGTATTGATTTTTATATATACTAAGGAATATATGTATTTATTTTTTTTTCAAGTAGCGAGGGGGGGGGCGCTCCGCCTCCCCCCCCCACTTCGGGCTTGGTTCAACATCATGCTGCACCACACGCAAAACCCAAAATATGGCAGCTAAGAAGTGCACATAAACTTTTTTTTTCTAAACAATAGTCAAGAATATTATTATATATTTTTTAAAGCAGGGTAGGCGGGGGGCTTCTCGTTGCACTTGGATCCATATCTTGCTTCACCACCCACCAAACCCACACCAGGCCGCTAAGAAGTGCGCATGAATGTTTTGATTCTCACATATACTAAGGAATATATGTAATTTTTTTTTAATTC